TTATTAATCTATTTATCTACCTTTGTGTCTTTTCATTATTCTTTTTATGATTGATTGGAGTAAATATTCTTGGTTCATTCTAAAAGAACTTATTAATTGTCATTTTAGCATCTTTTATCTACCTTCTATCTATCTATCTACCTGTGTATCTGCCCTCTATCTATCTGCCTGGCTATCCACCTGTCTATCTACCTTCTATCTATCTACCTGTGTATCTACCCTCTATCTATTTACCTGTCTATCTACCTTCTATCTGTATCTACCTGTTTATCTGCCTTCTATATATCTACCTGTCTATCTAGCTTCTATCTGCATCTACCTGTTTATCTACCTTCTATCTATCTACCTGTGTATCTACCTTCTATCTGCATCTACCTGTTTATCTACCTTCTATCTATCTACCTGTGATATCTACCCTCTATCTATTTACCTGTCTATCTACCTTCTATCTGTATCTACCTGTCTATCTACCTGTTTATCTAGCTTCTATATATCTACCTGTTTATCTATCTACCTGTCTATCTATCTATCTATCTACCTGTCGATCTATCTACCTGTCTATCTATCTACCTACCTACCTCCGTCCCGCCCTATCTATCAATAAAACTACAACTAACTGTCTATCTATCCGTGTTTTTTTCCTCCAAGGGCGACAGCGGGGGCGTCTCGTGGTCCAGGCGCCGAGTGGGCGGTGGGCGGTCGCGGGCGTGGTGTCCTGGGGCGACGGGTGTGCACGGCCAGGCTACCCCGGGGTCTATGCGAATGTCAGTAGTAAGTAGGGCTTGCTCTCCCCCCCCCCCCCCCGTATTTTTTTTTTTGTTTTATCTTTTTTTTTTTTTTTGTTTTGCTACCTGGATTTGTTTTGGGTGTAATACCTGGTATTTCTTGTCGATATTTGTGTCTATCATGTCTCTGCTCTCTCTCTCTGTCTGTCTAGTCCATACATCCGATCAAATCATATACAATCAGGTGCATGCATCTCATACCGGTCTATAGACTCGTCTTGGAAGGGGAAGGGTCGTCATAGTCTGCACGGATAGATAGATCTCTCCTCGTCTATATCTAACATTCTATCCCTCTCTCACTCTCTCGGAGAAGTAGACCCCGGATCGGGAAGCCGAGAAGGGAAACTCTCTCTCTTCTCAGGAGTTGAGAAGGAGATATTAGCTCGATAACGAAAAACTCTGCTCTCTTCTCTCTCGTCGATATCGTACACAAATCCGGTTTACATACACCGAGGATGAAGGATATTTGAGCATCACGCAGATCGAACTCATACTTACCTATCGATAGACTATGCAAAAAATAAAATAAATAATAAGGAAAAAAGAAGTGAGATAAAAAAAATGAAAATAAGTATCGAACGATGAATGAATAATAATGATAATAGAAGAAATAGATAGAAATGAAAAATGTGAGAAAGGAACAGAGGGGCGATGACGACCCAGAGGTGCCATCTCTGTTGCAGACTTTCCATCTCCTGAGTCCGAGCACGACGCGTCTTCGCGACCAAATGCCAAAACCTAGAGCCTCGTCTCTGCTCAACCAAAAACTCATCCAGACCGCGGATTCATCGCAACGTAATGAAAAACACATAAGACGCACCGGAGACACTGGCGGAAGGGGAGGAGACAAAACCGATATAATACCAGCACCAACCACCAAAAAATGACTTCAATGAACCATCACACCGCAGCAAAATACTTGTCATGAGAGCAAGTGCATAGATAGTAGATGTCGACTGTTTCTCGATTTCGTTATTTACTTGGATCATACTCAGTAGTTATATGGAGTTTACGTGGCGAATCCTGAATGACGAGCATCGTTTGTGTGTGCTCCAATGTGATAGGATATATAATTGTGAGATACTGTGGCAAGTTTATATATGGTTGTCAGTATTTGGTGTTGAAATACTATACTATATATATTTTGGCTATATTTGGGCGGACGAAATAGATTAGACGTAATGTAGATGATTAAGGACGAAGATTAACATAAACATAAGATATATAAAAGATAAAGAGATTGGGAAATGATCGAACTATAGACTGATGATTTGAGAATTCATTAAAAAGAAGATTAAAGAATGAATTGATATAAGATGTATGTTACACACAACATGAACAAAACAAATCATTACACACATAATAGCATACACACAGCCAAGATGACACACACACACACAACACAAAACCCAAAATAGATTCACGACGAAGAATAGTAGATATATAGTATAAACAATTAATAATAGATTATATAATGATATTAGATGAAAGATTGGAAGATTGATGAGGTCACAATAACGATACAGAACCTGACAGGATTGAAGGGATGAACAAAAGGCGCAATGTGGTGATGAAAAAGCAAATTATAACAATTAAATCCATTATTTATGACTTTTATATATAGTTAGACTAGATTAACTTATTATAACACATCCCAGCACTAATATGGCTATTCTTCAATTCGCTAATAGATAGATAGATACTAAGAATATTTAGTATATGATAGACTAGACAGATAGGAAATAATAAGAATATAAGATTAGTATTTAAAATCTACGACTCCAGGTAGATATACAATTTATTTTACAACTCATATACAGCCATACACACACACCACTATGGTATAAATAAAAGACTAAACAACGTTATGTGCACTTCAGGATGCGGGCGGACCAACAAGAGGATTGTGGGCGGGCAGGAGACGGGCGTGAACGAGTACCCTTGGCACGTGGGCGTCGCCAGGAGGGGGCAGACCCATCCCTTCTGCGGCGCCTCCGTCATCTCACCACGTCACGTGCTCACGGCGGCGCACTGCACGGAGCCGTAAGTACGCGCACATGCATACATATTTACGTACATAGGCATGATCGAATTCACATACACAAACACACATACGAGTAGATAAGCGCACATGCATACATATATACGTACATAGGCATGATCGAAGTCACATACACACACAAACAAACATAAAAACAGATAAGCGCACATGCATGCATATATACGTACATAAGCATGATCGAATTCACATGCACAAACACACATACGAGTAGATAAGCGCACATACATGCATATGTACGTACATAAACACAATCGAAGTCACATACACAAACAAACAAACACATATACGAACAGATAACCGAATCCTCATACATAAACACATACACACAAGTACACATATATACGTACATAAACACAATCGAAGTCACATACACGAACAAACAAACACACATACGAAAAGATAATCGAATCCTCATAGATAAACACATACACACAAGTACACATATACCCACTAACGCAAGCGAACACACACATACACATACACACAACATGGTTTAATATCTCTATGTAGATCTACGAAAACATCTAGCCCTATCTATTTATCTGTCTATCTGTCATTTTTATCTATCTGTCCATCAATCTATCTTTTTTATCTATCTGACCATCCATATATCTTTTTATCTATCTGTCTACCTATCTATCCATCTATTTTTTTTTAGCTATCTGTCCATTCATATATATTTTTATCTTTATGTCTATCCATATTTATCTTTTTACCTATCTGTTCAACCATCTATCTTTTTATCTATCTATCCATCCAACTCCCTTTCCCTCTCCCTCTATCTATCTATCCTCTCCTCTCCCTTCTCCTTCCCTCTTCCCTCTATCTATCTAGCTCTCATCATCTATCTACACACATATATATCTGTCCTCTGTCATCACCAATATCCTCATTCCAAAGTGTTAAAACCTAAAAAACTAAAAAAAAAGAAAAAAGAAAAAAAAAGTGTTAAAACCAAAAAAAAAAAAAAAAAAAAAAAAAAAAAAAAAAAAGAAAGAAAGAAAGAAAGAAAGAAAAGAAAGAAAGAAAGAAAGAAAGAAAGAAAGAAAGAAAGAAAGAAATGCAATGCCAATACAGCCCAGTAAACCAGCCTGAACAAACCTGAAACCTCGTCTTCAGGATCACCAAATACAGGTGGAAGGTCGAGGCTCTTGTCGGGTACCACCACCTCGCCTCCACCTCCTCCACTCCCGCTGCCAGAAGACTTACCATTGGCACGTGAGTAGAGTCAAGGATAAGGATAAGGATGAGTAGAGTCAAGGTCTATATAAGTACTTAAGGATAAGGATAAGGATTGAGTAGAGTCAAGGATAAGGATAAGGATGAGTAGAGTCAAGGTCTATATAAGTACTTAAGGATAAGGATGAGTAGAGGGATAGAGGTCAAGGATATAAGTACTTAAGGATAAGGATAAGGATGAGTAGAGTCAGGATAAGGATAAGAGATGAGTAAGAGTCAGGGATAAGGATGAGTAGGATAAGGATAAGATGAGTAGAGTCAAGGTCTATATAAGTATTAAGGATAAGGATGTTAGAGCAAGATAAGGATCAAGGTCTATATAAGTACTCTAAGGATAAGGATAGGATGTGTTTATTATTTCGTTGTTTTTATTTATTTTTTTATTGTTTTTATTATTACTGTTATTGTTATTATTATAATTATAATACCGGAGTTATTTATTGTTATTGTTATTATCATT